AACTTAAGAGTTGTGATGGATTTGTGGGATATGCCTTTCTTTTGGGAGGTAGTCAGCACAATGTTGACGATGGATGGTCGGAGTGGTGAGGCAGGACACAGCTAGCCGAGAGTGGCAGAAGACAGATAATGAGGGTCTGTTTGGCAAAGCGCAACTTCACTAGTAAGGCAGCTTTTGTTGACTAGCTATGTAAGCAGCTTTATCTTGGCTTCCACTTCAATGATAAAGTACCGTTTGGTAAAATAGCTTCTCATTAGATCCACCTCAAACTTGGACCTCTTTGACCCTTTATTCCTCTCTCTTTTTCTTTCCTCCTGGATCTCTCTCTGTCTCTCACCTGCCTCGCGTCTCTTGCTCGCACGCTGTCCAATCCTTGCGACCGCACGCCACCCCTCCTCCCAATGCCGGCAGTTGCGCGCGGTCCCTCCTCAACTACGCCGGTGGCCGCCCCTCCTCCCTCAACACTGGCGGCTGCGCGCCTCCCCACCTCCCAACACCAGCGGCCGAGCGCAGCCCGTCCTCCCCAACGCCGGCAGCCACGCACCTCCCCTCCGTGGCCCTAACTCCGCGAGCCCTGGTGGCCCACTCTGTTGGCCACAACCCCGCTCCCTAGTGAGCTCTGGTGTATGTGCCCGTGCGAGCCTCGATGGTCAGTGCGCTCATAGGCTCCCGCGCCGAGCGACACGCGAGGGGACCCACCAAAGGCAAAGAAAGCGGGGAGAAGTGAGGTTTTTTCTGCTTCATTCTCTCTCCTCGCTCTCTCAGCGCAAAAATCAGAGCTTCGATGTTGAGGCTGAGCGGGGTGGGGGTGTTTGGCTGGCATGGTCATGAATCCGCTTGCGAAGGGGCTGGTGAAGCCGTGCCAAACAGCCCTTGAGTGGTGATGGCACCGGCCAGCGAGGGCCAGAAAGAAGAGTCGTTACCATGGGGTGATGGATTTGCGTCTACAGGCTATACATTGTTTGCTTGATCGTATCAGTTATGCTTATCAGCCATGATACAATGTTTTTCTCTCACAACAAAATAGCATCAACCGGCTTATAAGCCACAGAAACGATCAAGCGAACAGGGTGTAGCACCACCTTGTCGCCATGGAATTAAACAAACCAAAAGCTCATCACATACAAGTATTAAACAGATTGAGATACTTTTTCTCGTCTTCTCGCTCTTCTCTTTCATTTTCTTCCTTCATGGCTACACCTGGCGCTAGCTGGATCTGCACGACTGCCCGTGTTCATGAACTTGTGTTGTGTGCATCAAATGTGGCTGATGCAAACCTCCCTCAAGAGTCACATACACGCATGCACAAGCACAAACAACACAACATGAATGGTGCCGGTCAAATGGAGCAGCAAAACCAAGCAATGCGAACAGCTGGTCCATATATAATGACACATGCATGGACGATAGCTCATATTGGCTCCTAGCTGATCCGTGGTGTGCCGCCCGTGTCACCAGTGACGAATCCAGAAAAAAATTTAGGAGGGGCTGAACAAAAGAATAAAGGCTTTTTTAACTTCTCTTAACCTTAGCCCCTCCTACCTAATACATGTATACATAAAATTTTAAAGGAGGGCTTAGAGGAACTCCACGTGCTCAGAGTGGGTAGGGGGGGCTGAAGCCCCCCTAGCCCCACCGCTGGATCCGTCCATGCGTGTCACGCATCACATGCCTAAAGAGTCATAGAGACTATGAATATCACTCATTAGTGATACATACATTCTATATATATCGGTATATCAGTCATTTGTACCCTGAGGCAGAAATGATTTTTGGCAAAGGGAGCTTTTTTTTTACTAGAGACGACTCAATCTACAGTCATCTCTATAAATCGGTCCGAACCGAGCCGCCTCTAGAAATTCATTTCTAAAGACGGCTGCTATCATTTTAGCCACCTCTATAAATGCTTGTATCTTTAGAGATGGTTCTATTTCTAGCCGTCTCTAAAAATTAATTTTAGAGGTGACTGAAAATAGAGCTGCATCTAAAAATAGGAGCTGCACAGCAAATTTTAAATTTTCAAACAATCATGGATGAAGAAACGACCAAAATCAAAGTTGTAGATATCGAAGAGTTATATAATTTTGTAGTTGACAAGTTTTTCATTTGAAACCATCTATCTAAGAAAAATTACGTTTGAATTTCTCACATTTAAAACTCAAAATTTTCAAATGACCTCAGATAGAGAAACCATGAAAACTAAAGTTGTAGGACTCTACAATATCTATAACCTACGAGCAGAACGAATATGCTGGAGAAAATTGTCCTTGGCGTGGAGTGGTTATTATTGGGGTTGTGGATCCGAACCCCCATGGTTGAGAAGCTTGCGGTTTTTACTTGTGACTTCTGGACATGGATTAAAATCATGTGGCTAGCTATTGGGGTCTCCTTTGATTTTTTTTACTACTTTTTGGACAGGGTTTGTAATTTCTAGATAATTAATAATTTGTAGAGACGAATCATGTTCCCGGTCGCTCCTAGAAATCCGATTTCTGGAAGCTGTTGAGCAATTACTCTACAAGTTGATATTATAGAGGCGGCCTCTACAGATAGATCCCAATAGTCCATTTAATATATGAACTAGATTTTCCCCATATGGGTCTGTTACAGATAGTCCATTTGATATTATAGAGTCTGTAGTAGTGCCACGTATGGCCCTAATGGGTCATCGCGAAGACCTTTTATATCTTTAACGGGCAAATAACCCGTATAATATACTGCTAAGATGTGAAGAAGGTAATACAACTATAATTTCCCACATATAGTCCATTTAATATATGAACTAGATTTTCCCATTGAGCGCTAGATAGCAAATTAGATATGTATTCCTTCGTCACCACAACTAGAATTTTAGACTTCTCCTAGTGAGGTGGGCTTCTCCTAGTGTTTTAGCATTCAAAATTTAGTATAAATTTTCTCTACTAAATGCCTCCTAATGAGATTCACATGTGCTATGACTAGTAGTAGTGTTTTATTACTACTTAAAAACACTAGGAGAAGTGCACCATTTTAGTAGTGCACTGTTATTATATATTGCCCATATTGTAATAGAATGCCAATGGATGTGTTGACAACTAAAATTGTCCAATTTGCAAAGTTGTCAAAATGCAAAATGGACTTCACCATTACGTTCCTCTCCTCGAGATAGTAAAAAAAACATATATGGAACGTCCAATTTGAAGTCCAGATAAAGGAGTTACGCCCTCTAGAAGATGCTCAATGTCGGAAGTTCTGACCCATCTCGGAAGCTCCGAGAATCGAAACTTCTGATGACCGTTGAAACTTTCGATGCTCGCTGTATGAATCTAGCCTTTTCGATTTCAATCTATACTACTCTGGGCTCATGGGAAACTTGAAAATTACATTTTAGAAGGGTTTCCTACTGAGACCCGACCATTCCCTCTATATACATTGGAGGATCAATGACGATTGAGGTATCCAACACACCATCGATAAAAAACCAATCTACTATCTCTCTTTTACCCTCTTCTCCCATCTACTTATTCTTCTCATTCTTTGTCGTTGCTGCATGACTGGTGGATCGACGACGGAAGCTCTAGAGCGGTCCGGGCGGCTAAGGCAGCCCAAAGCCACATGCCCCGACGGGTCCTTTCCGGACGTTTGGGGTTTTGAGTTTCAAGAGACCTCATCGGCGTGTCTTGCGCATCGCGCTCCCAATGAGGCTTCTCTGGCAACGTGTCTTGCGTATCACGCTCATCGCTGGAGGCACAAGGTTTGAGTGCGAACAAACCCTAGGCGCTAGCCGACCTAAAAGTCGGTTAGGCCCTACATCTAGCAATCTAACTCCTTATCGGTGTGGTGACCTAATTAAGCATCAACACACTTTTTGGCGAAACAAATCTACTAAGATGGCTGACGGAAATCCTTTGGCTGATCAACTTCCCAAGGAGATTCGCTAAGATGTTGGAGGAGAGGGCAAAGGCCCGAGCTACTGCCGATCTCGAGGTGGGTCGGTGGGGAGCTATCAAGAAGATCCGAGATGTCAACTTCAATCCTCTTCTTGATATATCTACATCTAAGGTAAAAACATATCAATCTCTCCCTGGATCTAGTGTTACGCGCGATGAGTTTGCTAAGATGATTCATGAGCTTTATAATTTAACAAACTCATGGATAGCTATAAAAGAAGGGAGGAAAAGAATTATGAATCTCTTGTTTTTCCTCATGATGCTTCTATTTGCATATCGGCCCTGGTTGCTCGCCAACCTTAATATGGGATGCTGATCAGCTTTTTTGAGGGACAGACAGGCTATGCATCGGCTAACCAGCTCAAATTGGCCTATTCAGCGCCTGAAACCGATAAGGCCAATTTAGGAGGGTTTGGTACTACTTTACCAATGGCTACCTTTGTGCAGCCACCGGTTTCTACCACACGAGCCGTTAGCAATTTAGCAGTGTCACATGTCTCTTTTGCTCATTATGCGGTGTTGCCAAGCTCCTAGAAATCGATTACACCACTACACCAGTTGCCTATATCCTCCATTTTCACGTTCGGGGGTTCGTAACACTAACACCTTCCCGAATAGAGGTGTCGTTATTCTTTGTAAAAAAGTGTACCGCTTGTCCTATCCATCGCCCATCCCGATCAATCTAACAATGAGGCCTTTTGTTCATCAAAGCTGGTCCCATTTGTTCATCCTGGACCATGCATGCACAGCTGGCAACGCTTGTCTACTCGCTCCTTTCGTCCAAATACTCCCAACAGCATCATGCCCATGCAACCTGACGAACACTAGCCGCATGCCTCTCATCCTAATCCAAACTTCACTCACGTAGTCACGTTAACAGCTGTTAACGTACCCTGTCATTTTTTTTTCTATGTGTATATACTGATATACATGTACAACTACACATACACTGATGATACACTACGCCCTTCTTCCTATATAAAGAGGCCCTAGCTTCAAGCCTACAATGCAACACACGCTTACACACACTCAGGTAAAGCTATCTCGAGCTAGCTGCTGTAACGCGTTGCCATGGCCAGGACGGTGCTGCTCCCCGTGCTCCTCTCCTTCCTCCTCCTGCCGCTGGCCTCCCTCGCGCTGACGCAAGACTTCTGCGTCGCCGACCTGACCTGCAGCGACACGCCGGCCGGGTACCCGTGCAAGTCCAGCGTCACCGCCAACGACTTCTACTACCACGGCCTGGCCGGGAAGGGCAAAATCAACCCGCTCATCAAGGCCGCCGTGACGCCGGCCTTCGTCGGCCAGTTCCCGGGCGTCAACGGGCTCGGCATCTCCGCGGCCAGGCTCGACATCGAGGTGGGCGGCGTGGTGCCGCTGCACACCCACCCCGCGGGCTCCGAGCTCCTCTTCGTGACCCAGGGCACCGTCGCCGCCGGCTTCATCAGCTCCGGTTCCAACACCGTCTACACCAAGACGCTGTACGCCGGCGACATCATGGTGTTCCCGCAGGGCCTGCTCCACTACCAGTACAACGCCGGCACCGGCCCCGCCATCGGCCTCGTCGCCTTCAGCAGCTCCAACCCCGGCCTGCAGATCACCGACTTTGCGCTCTTTGCCAACAACCTCCCATCCGCCGTCGTGGAGAAGGTCACGTTCTTGGACGATGCGCAGGTGAAGAAGCTCAAGAGCGTGCTCGGTGGCAGCGGTTAAGTTGTTGTTCTCGACAATACAGTGCAAGCTGGGTATGGTCGTCGTCGTCTTGGTCCGTCGTCATCGAATGGAACGTGTGTCTGTTGCATGCATGCGTGCACCTGTCGTCGTCTTGTCAAAGTAGTCGTGGTCTATTTCATCTTACCCTTTTTTATTCATGTATGTACTTTTCATTCAAGGATGTGTTCAGTTTGATTGCAATTTATTGCAAAGGAGAGTAAAATGTGCATCTGATTGGTTCAATTTTTTAGCTGGTGTGGTCGATGTCATTGTAAAGCTATATGACTACTCATTTGGTTTCATTAAGGCTAGATTTCACTGTTTGTTTAGTGCTTTATATATACACCTCTTTGAAGATGTCGCATGCCATTAGTCTGTTCATTTAAATCCTACTATTCCATTACGAATACCATCTCACATCTAGTGAAACTGTTTTAATAAGCCAGTATCAACAATTGTCCGGAGGAAAAGAAGAGCTGGACGGTGAGTATGAAGAGGCCTCAATCCACAAGTGGAAAGAACATATGACAAAGCATACCCAAACTCGGAGGCCCAATGCCCGTTTCACGTGGCCCAACTGGGTTTAGCCCATGTAAGGCCTTCCTATATGTAATCCATCTATGCTTTTTGGTGCATAGGTGGCTTATTTCACTCCATGCATGGAGAATGAGTATATAGCGTTGGACAATACATTGAACCGACCGAGCTCGATGCAAGCAAAGGTGGAGATGGATGCGGAGAGGCTGCGAAACTATCCGATTGCATCCACTTTGTCGCTATACATGTTCGATCTTGGTCGGTAATTAATAATTGGTATCAAAGCAACACTTTATCATGACGACGGAGACTCAATCAGGTAGATCCTCACCATGTTGAGCAAGAACAAGAGCCTCACCGAATTTGAAGGAGTACATGGCCGAGATGAGGACATTGAAGGCAAACTTCGAAGTCTAGAAGCCATGTGTCAACCAATGAGTTGCGGATTTCGAGCATGCCAAGTTGTTGATGGTCATTAACCTCCAAATTCGACCATCATCTCCTGCATAAAATGACAACAATGATCCACAAACCATAGTCATAGGATTTATTTCTGACCAACTCCACAAGTTTTGGTAACTATGTGTATGCAAAGATCACCTACCAAAATTGGGCTTATTTGGACCCCCCAAATGGGGGTCGTCGGGTGACCCCCGTGGTCGGCCAACCGTGGGTCTTCCCCGTTTCGATCCACCAAACTCCCACATGCAAGGAAACACCCCCCAAGTGTTCTAGGCCATGGATTCCACAAAGAAACACACTTGGGATGATCAAAGGGCTCACAAGGAAAGTGCATGGATCCAAGGACCCACTTGACATAAGAAATGGTGTTCTAATGATGCAACTCACACACCATAGAAGTTACCCACCGAGGACCAACACACACACGAAATTCGGAGACCAAAGGTGTCAGTGAGGGTTCGAGCGACCGGGTAGGTCAGCCGACCATCACATGGCTTCAAACCACCTCAAACTCCTCGGGTACCTTCTTACCGACTCTAGGAGTGAATCTCAACCGATGCCACACCGTCGGTGGATCTGACGGTCAGCCAATGGGTAGGGTCGTCCGATCCCACTTTGGCTCTAAACCACCTCATCTTCGACTACAAGTACCCCCTAGTGTCCTAAGGCTATAAATAGTGGTGCTCGGCTCACTTTGAATTTTGAAAGCACACAAAGGCGATACACACATTCCGAGCTAAAGGTGAATCCCTACCAAAGTGTAGAAAATAGGGAGAAAGTGAGGGAGAGTCTGGAGGAGTGCTGATGGCTCAGTACCTCCTTGGCGGATGCGAGCTTCCCTCTTGTGAGCAAACATCCGGGATTCTTATTGGTATATGGTATTTGTGTAAGTAATAAGTTACTAGTGTTCATGGTACACCTAAGAAAAAGTCGGGTCGGGCCGGGTTTAGGATGGGCCTGCAAAAAGGGCAATGGGTAGGTTTGTGGCTCGCATTTTTTGCCAGGCCGCTCGCAATTTTACTGTGTAAAAATAAAGGAAATTAATGTTTCGGGTGGGCTGAGAAAAAAATTCTAGGCAGCGGGATCTCACACTGCACCCTACACTATCCACCCGTCAACTCTAGGGTTGGGACTTGAGAGTAGTGGCCGTCGAGAGATCGGGGTGCAGGAGTCTCAAGTCGGGTATTGCCAAATCAGAGGAAGTGAGAAAATAAAGAAGGGTCATGACTCTAGGATATTGGGCCTTTTATGTTGGGCTACTGGACTTTTCAGTCACTTATTGAAGCCCACTCGCCAACGGCCCAAGCTATGAGTTTCACATCGTCTTCAACCTCCCAATAGATCCAGCCCCACCTATAAGCGCATCAATGGAGTTCAACCACTCCTTTACGCTACATACATGGAGGAAGGGGGGCTTCACGTTAGACGTTACCTGCGGTGGTAGGGGGTTGAAGCCCCACCCGCCCCACCATTGGATCCGCCACTAGGAACAGGATACCTCAATTTGGCGCCAAGTCATGTAGGAGGTTTTCAACAGGGGGAGCAGGGAAGGAGGCCAAAGCGTATGGTGGTGCTGGTGAGCTGGTGCCTCGACAATGGTCTGAAGGGGGGCATGTGGTGCTCGAAAGCGTAGTGCCTATTTATTGGTGAATTTGGTTTTCTATGGCCTTGCAAAAATCAGTGACAAAATAATTTTGTCACGACCGTCACGACAGAAAGCTGAAGACGAGAGTCGCGCGAGAGAGCATGAAGGAGGCCTGAACAAGGCCGTGATGTTCCGGCTGTAAATGGGCCATGGGCTGTTGATGTGTGTGTGGCTGGCAAGTATATAAGCCTGGCGTTGACGTTTTTATAGAGAGCAGGCTCTCTATATTGTTGCCGATGTAACTCCTTCCATTATTATGCTCACTATATGCTCTTCAGAAAACCAAATTTCCGTATGTAACTCCTTCCATTATTATGGATACAACGGGATCGGACTTTGACTATTTGTACCTTCCTTCGACCGGCGTGATTGGTGGTATATACTAATCTCTTGGCGTACGTCTGCTTGCTCGACCACGTCATCAGTCTTACAGGAGTTCTTACTTTTTGTTAAGGTCGCTTTGATCGGGTCTCCCTCGACTGAACACGATTTCAAACCGGGCCTAGATGTTGGCGCATGCTCTATTTCCCTCTTCTTGTTTATTTACCAAGTCTTTTAACGTGACTAGGTGTGTGAGGGGGACAATCAAATCTTGTTGATTTACTTAAACCAAGTTCATTTTATTTTACAGCTCGTTGGTCAAAATGAATGCATTCAATATAAATGTAGGGCGAAACTACGTTGCAGCTTGTGGGTGCCCATGCACCCAAATTTTTTTTTGAAAAGATACTATTAGGAATAAATTTTTACCATGGTTACAGATTAAATTTTCACACCTATATAAGAGAAAGTTACCCCCCCTAATTTACTCTAACTTCGCAACGGATGTACTCCCTCCATTATAAATTGTAAGTAATTTTGACTTTTCAGTATAATAACTTTTGCAATATATCTGGATATGTATTATGTCTAGATGCATAGCAAATAGCTATGTATTTAGAAAAGACAGAACAACTTATAATTTAAAACGAAACGAGTAAGTTATATTTTGGGAAAGCTTTTAAAACATGTTTAGATGTCCATGAGAACATTTTGAGAATTTTTCATCTTTTTCTATTCTCATTTTCCTGGAGCTGAGTCTAACTTCTAGACGTGTCTAGATATATTTTTACGAGATTAAATGTTTTATTTGGGTTTCTCGTGTCTTAATCTCACTCTAGAATTTTCTTTCTAAATTTTTAAAATTTCAGATTTTTTTTGTGATTTGAAAACCTTATTAGATGTTTTATGCATTTTTTTACTAAAAAAAGTAAACTGCCTTATAATATGATAGTGATGTAATTTAAATGGTTTTGAGAGTTAAGGAGTTTATGCGATAAAGAGGAAAAAAAAGGAAGGTTGTTTTTGCTGATGGGGTATTTGGACTCTGGAGTCTGGAGGCAGGCTTCCCGTCTAGCAGGCCTGGTCAGACTAGATGTCGGTGAGCTAGATATCGACTATGAAATATGAATAAATTTGAATAATATCAGCTTACATCAACAGCAACATTGATGCAGCAGTCTTCTTCATGGTACCTTGATGGAACTACTGCATTGCATTCACAAGGAGGGGCACAGCAGATCACCTAACATCAGCACTATCTTATATACAACGCCAACCCACAATGTCGAAGGTGGTTGGCTACTCAAGAACAACAGGCAGACACCAAATAAAAAGTATATCCATCAGAAAATGGTGTCTACTGTCAGCCTCCTCTTGGGAGGTGACTTCTCGATTATCTGCTTCTGCAAGTCCATGAAGCTGATTCCCTTGTTCGCAAACAGCCTTCTGAGGTTGATCACTGAGAGCTCACTGTACTTTGCAATGGCAAGGTCGGCCTGTACCAACTCATACCTGCAAGTGATTAGACAGTGTCAGCTAAAGATGTGAGGATTGGGGAGACGAGAGTTTCAACAAACAGATCCATACGCTGGATGAGCACCAATCAATGCAACTGCCATCATAGTACAGTTGTGGGCGGCTGTGACGCCCCTTGGGTCGTCCTCGAACACGACACACTTTGAGGGTTTACGATCCAACTGCATGGAAGAAAAAAAAAACAGCAAAAGTGTGAGCTATATATCCTAACATAATGTATAACGACTAGTAGTGGGTCAGCCAGTCAGGAGCATGCCTTCATAGCAGCTGACAGAAACCTATTTGCTATCGACTCCATATCATCTTCGTCAGTCACAATCGCCTGTAGTCAACAACTGAAGTGAATCAAATGAACTTTGCTAAGCAGCATGCTTTTCAAGCAACAGTAATTCAGTAATAAACTTGAAAAGCTCAAACGGTAGCTCAAATCACCTTGAAATATTTGCTTAGTGCCATCCGATCCAAAGCTTTGATCATGCATCTCCTGTCAAGGGATGATGCGACAGCACAAGGTATCCCTGCTGTCTGAACAGCATCCAGCCATTCTCTCAATCCTTCTACAGGTGTATCGAGCTGAATGAAACGAGCAATTAGTTATAGGTGATAAACTTCAAGTAAGCAGCACAGTTTACAAAAGGCAGCACAACTTACTTTGAACAGGTTCTCATAGTACAGCTCTATAAGGCGTGCCTTCAGTTTTTCCATTTTAGCTTCCTCTTTTGCCCAGTACAAAACCTGGATGGGCAATGTAGAATTGCTAGTGAGTGCCAAACAAAATGAAATGGAGATACCAAGTAAGAGAGCATGCATTTTTCCTTTTCCACCTCTTAATTTTCTGTTGAGAAATCAGGTGGCACAATCGAGTTGCAAAAAGATACATCAATTGATCATGAAGGAATGGTGACAAATTCAATGATACATGATATAGTCGTATGCAACAAACTCACACCTTTCTAAGAACATGGTCAGCAGCACCATGAAGAATGCTCTTCCGGACATGAGCAGCACTTGGGATATCCTTGCCTGCACAAAACAAAGAACCTTAACAACTATATCAAGGTAGCATCCAAGAACATTGAGATGAATATCAATTCAATGACTATGAGAAGTTAATAAGAGAATTATTGTTTTTCGGGTGCAGTAAGCTCAAGAAAATGCCCACAACTGAAGAAAGTGCTAAAATATAGCTTCATGAATCCAACCTAACTCTCCAACCTTAAGTGTTCTTCCTTGGATCAATGTTGTATGAAAGCCAAGGTGAGAACTGAGCCCTTGTAGAGGAAAATAGATTTGCAGGCATAACCAAATCCAACTAAGGGCGACTACCTCCAATTGATAGCATGGATCATTTTTTAATGCAAAAAAAAAGGCTGAAAACCTATTAACTATCAAGATGACAAACGAACAGGTGTTGTTCATACAACAGCCCTTCCTTCCATCCCAAAAATTCAGTCCAAAAGAGAGTTAACTTTCTTGTGTGCTTATACTAGACGATATCATTACTGAAGAATATGAAAAGGGAGACATAATAAATCCATGCAAATAGAAAATGGTCCCTGCACTTTCCATTGTTGCAACAAGGCACTAGACTGGTCACATGGCAGTAGTATCCTACATAAATACATGGCTTTGCTTATAAACATACCTTCCTCCAAAGCAAGCTGTCTCCAAGCATTCAACTTTAGCGAGTCTGTATCAGCCTAAGAGAATAAAGATGGACATCACATGTCAGGCAGCTAATGGCGCAACATATAATAAAGATATTTTTCAAGTTATACATACAAGCATGTACAAATGAAACTGTCAATAACACCCAGAGGTGCATCAAACCAGATAAGAGTTGAAATATGTCCAGTGTAAGCTTAGACTTTGTTTGCATTATCTTTACAGTCCATAATTGTAGAAAAGAAAACTCCAGGATGCCATTTAGAAATCAGGACACTAATATTTGATACACTAACACCAAAAGAAAACTTACAATAACATTGTCCCATGAAAAAATTAGACCAAACGCCTCATCCGGCTTCATAGCATGCCTTATCCTTTGAAGGAAGCATTCTTGCAATTTTTCATTAAGATAATCCTAAAACATGGAGAAAATTTAAAACAAAAGTTAACATTACAGAGATGTTCTTGGACACCAAATAGATATATTTGATATGGGAATCCAACTTATGATGATGTATACTTACCACATCAACCTTGAGTGGTCCATCCATCCGAAATGTTTCGAAGCCCTCCCCATATTCCGCTCCGATTGCCTAATTAAGCATATAAAAGGGGAAAAAGAATATTCTTTAACCTGTAACTTTAAAAATGATAATGAAATCCCTACCCTCAAAAAAACAGCACGGGCCAATATTGGATGTGGCTTTAGGTGGTCTCAATTTTACAGCACATTACCAATCAAGTTATGGAGAATACCCATGCAGCTAACCGGTTACACAGTCACAGTCTAAGTAACTGCTCCAGCACAAAATTATATAAAAATAAGTGCCAGTTTGGAATGCAGGAGATTTACAAGAAACAGTTTGATTCCTAAGAGAAATCCATGTGCTCCAAACAGGGCTAAGATTTACTCAATAGGCTGCTCACACAAGAAGCCTAAGAAAACATACACAACACCAACAAAGCCATTTAGTCCCAAGCAAAGTTTGGGTTAGGATATGAAACCATATATGAGCCACATCTACTAAAATGGACTCACCTTAGAAGGCACCAACTCTCATACAGCCAGGATACCACACCTTTTACATAGAGTTTGCTAACTAACGTACTGGAAGATCTAACCTGAAGGCGCTTCAAATAATTAAAGCTAGCTAGTACCAGGTTCTACCGAAGAACAATACAACGGTACTGATTTTCAAAATAAAAGCGGTCTCGCATAGAGCTAATTTGACACCAACTGTACTACCGCAGCTGATTTGACAGATTTGTTGCGCCTAGAGCAGGACAGATTTCTTGAAACCAAACGAACACAAACCAAGAAAATGCATTCTTTTTCCAAGAAATCAAGATAGGGCAAACAAAAGAATATAGAAAGCACCTCATCGACGAAGACCTTGCCGGGGAGGGGAGGGAAGGCATCAAATCCGGACGCCCTCCTGCGCACCCCAATCTGCCTCCCTTTTCTTGGTCTCTGCGTAACATCCGAAAAATCAGAACAAAAAATCGAGAACGAAAAAAGCCCAACAAATTAGGGTTATATATACGGAGCGGAGGAGGAAGCTGCCTACGGGAAATCGGAATATGGGGCATGGGGCGCGCGGGGATGAAGATGAGGAGGAGGGCGCGGAGGGGAAGGGAGAAGGCGCTGTTGCGGCGCGGAAGCTACAGGACTCCATTGGAAGGGGAAAGAAAAGAGGAGAGGAAGAGAGGGATAGTAGTGGAGGGGTTTTATTTTTAGAGTTTTTCCCCCATTTCCTATTTATTTTATACATTTTTTCTGGCCGTAAAATGTCGAAATACAGGAGAATTTTATTTCCTTTTTTTTTGCTGAAGTGAATTCATGTGAACTTTTACTTCCACAAGTTGAGGCATAAAAGTTTCTCGAATCTCGATATTTATGTATTTTCCTTTTTTGATAATGCTTAGTATCTTTGGCTTTTTCTTGTATTTTTTACTTTTTGTATAAAGTCTTGGGAAAAAATATCGCATACAAGAATGTTTCTCTTCTTTCGCTTTCTTTGCAGTTTATAGGCATTATTTTAACTTCCATCGACCTGCCTCAAAAGGTTAATTAACCTATAACTTTGTAAGAAAATAAAATGTTGAGTTGGCTATATATGTTTTGTTGCCAACTATCCATGCCACACTGAATTCTATGATGTTCATAAAGTTCATAACATGATAATCTTCCTTGACATTACCAAGCTAGCTAAAATTTTGGTAGGTCGTAATTACATTTGTTTAGCTCATAATTACCATCTCTTCTAATGAAAATAACAAAGTGGCTTTACATTAGAATTTAATGGAATGCATTTCCAAAACTCATGAGTGATTTGTTGCACCTATCTGAAAACAACATATGCGACATAATTCCTTTTTGGATCCACCACTAGTGAATGATGGACAAAGCAGGCTATCGCCGGTAACCAATGTCATTGGAACAACACAAATTATATGTTGTGGTAATCGGATTCTGCCACGTACCCTAAATCAACATTTTGTAGCCTCTTTCTACCTCAATTTCATAATTTTTTATGTCAAAAACATAAAGGTTCACGGAGTGGCAATAAGGTCATTATCATTGGTGTAAAACAAAAAAGGAGAGGTTAATGCGCGACTCACCGTGGCTTCGGGTAGTGCAACTCCTCTCCTAGCGCCACCCTTGTCTCTCCCTCGTTTACTCCTTCGTCGCCCCTACCAATCTCTTGCACCACTAGCGGTCAACGACTCCAACCCCCTCATCACCCCTTCTACCTCCTATCGCTGATGCCTAGACCCCGTTCTCCCACCTAATCACAGGGCCACCTATGACAACTCCAACCCCACCCACCGCCCACCCGCTGCCTGTAGCTCTAGCAACAACCATGCCTCCTTGCTGTACCATCGAGCCTCAACCCATCCTATGTCACGGCCACTGCCTCCAAACCCTCTATGGCAGAACCGCCTAATCTAATGCCTCACAGGAGTACTCGTATTCCATTAGACACTAAGCACTCAAGGGAGAACACCAAATTACACAGTTCCATCGGGCACACCCCGAGGGAGAACCTAAAAGTCCATATTTTTTCATCAGGATCACCAATGAGAGAATAAAGCTTACATCATTCTTAACCATTTCTTACATCACTTTTATTATAACATCAGAGTATAATATTTATTATTATGTAACCATGTTATCAAAGCTATGAACAATTTAATGTAACAGCAGAATATAAACATGTAATTAGAATTACAGCGAAAATAATTATCTATTCATGGCACGATGAAGCATTGATATGGAAACTATGACAACAGATTATAAACTTTCATTTATAAAAATATTTAGTGAGAGTTATAAATAAAAACTATGATTGCAGCGTAAAAGAAATCATCTCTGAGCCCACCAGAAGGAATCCACACATAAAGGTCAGCTCTAGTCTCCACATGTCACCTGCAACAGAGAGAAATAAACCCTGAGTACTCAATTGTACTCAGCAAGACTTACCCGATAGGAGGAAAGAAAAAACTCTAAGGATATGCAAGGCTATCTGGCTTGTGGGTTTATTGCATCTGTAGAAAGCATTACTAAAAGTGCTTCCTTATATTTGATTTTTATTAGCAGTGCATTAGTTCATTAACTAACCATTCTATGTAAGCACATGTACTACTTTCAAGAAGGTGGTAAGCAATCAGATTTCTTTCTCTATCTTTCATCTTCCAGTTCTTACTACGGTGTTAGAGTTAAGACAAGTCGTACCGGAACGTCGGCGATTCATGAATCAATGCCCCCAGCTGGGTACCCTAAAAACACACGCCCCTCTTGTACCCCGGGCATAAGCAGGACAAACCCACTACCCTCCTGTCATGGGGTCCAGGTCCTCGTCCAAACTGAGACTCCAAGCCCCCGCCCCTGAGTCCCGAACTCAGTGCGGTACAAGGACCTCCTAACCCAAAAACCACTAAGACAGTCGGTCTAGAAAGAGCCGGAACCCATGACAAGGGAGTAACAAGTCTTCCAAGCGCTCATACCCAAGTATGTGCTCGGGATAATAAGTCTGTGACTTGCCTAGCGTCTTATGCAACGGCCGGTCCTTAACCGACACGGACAGGGAAAGCAGTGTAACCAAGCTATGCCCCGCGGCCGCGGCGACACAACCTCTTACATCCATCAATACCCAAATCATATCCCTGTCCGGTCATCATTTTTCCTTTCCACCATTTATATTTTCTAAGTGATAATAATAAAGTAATATATTTCATATCTCTCGCGAGTGACAGGCAATCACTCGACTTCTACCGGAGTCATATAGCATAGCAATCTACACGATCATGTCATACTAGTAAGACTCATAGGATAAAGATATATATATATATATATATATGTAAGTGTGTTTCATCCAACTTCTTAAAACTTAATGCACAAATATAATTTAAAGTGCAGAAAAGTAGGGGTTATGCATCGGGGCTTGCCTGGGTAAAATATAATCAGAAGTTAGCTTTTCATCATGGCAAAATGATCCCCAAAAGCACCATTTCTCCAGCAACTCCCAATGACTCCGTGATCCATCAACACCCCTATTATGATATGCAATGCGATGCAATACAAAGACGTAATTAATCAACTGCAACCGTGACTCGTAAAAATACGATTTACACATCTTAGGTTAACGAGCTAGTTCTAACGACGACCGTACTTACGCTACATATCCATGTTGTCGAATAAGTCATTATTTCCCAACAAATATTTTAGTTATATAAACCCAAGTTGTTTCTTTATTTCATTCTATTGATTTAATCATTATTCGAATTAGAGCATCATTATCTATCTAGCGAACTAATTATTCTGGTGCTACAAAAATTACAATGAGCAGCTAATAATGTTAGTAATTTACTGTAAAATTTTTAGAGTCAACACTATCACCGATTTATCACAGAAATTCCTACAAGTTCCCATTTTAACAATTCTAAATATTTTGAAATAATTAGAGCAACCCTAAAAATATACCGAATCTATGTGAGCAAAATACACTATTAGATAGATCATGATTTTAAAAACTTAACAAAATTAGTTTCATAATTTTTAGACTCCTAAATAATTTTATATTTAAATAACAAAATAAGCCTAGAATTTATATTATGAAATCTTCTCTAATTCCTTGGAAAAACGAAAGGAGTACTGCGGCCCAAAAGGCCCACGGCAAGCGCGACCTCAGCGAGGCCCGCGACTGGCGAGCTGGCTCGGCCCGCAGGCGCACAACGCGTGGCAACGGACGGCCCAAGCGGGGACGAGCGCGAGCGGCCCAACAAGGCGCGACAACGGCGCGGGCGGCCCAAGCGCGACAGTCAGCGGCAGGCCAGCCCAGCAAGCCGGCCCACGGGGAAGAATCCAGTGACGGCGGCACCACTTTGCGAAAAGGCCCCTGTACTATCTTAAATTTACCCCGCAGTACTCTAGACACTAGTCAACACTATTAACATGAGTCACGTTTTTCGCACTGAGAACCCTGTATTGGTTTGTATTCGCTCTATCTCACCTTCTCAAAACAGAGCACTCAGCAGAGCCACCGGTCGGCAGTGGCGGCAACGGCGCTATGGGGCCGGGGAAGGCACGGTGGCGATGGAGGCGGTGCAGGGGCAGCGAGGGCACCAGCCGCTCTTGTGGGCGCTGGCAGCATGGCCATGGGTGGCCCGAGGCAGCCTCGCCACGCACCCACGCGAGCGACCATCGGGCTACGGCGGTGTGACCCAGCAAGGCCTACTAGAGGACACGCGAGGCAGCGGCGGGCGGCCATGGTACACCGGGGGGGCTATGTAGCGGACCTAGCTAGCATGAGGTTGACATCGACACGGCCCACGGTGGCCCACGGCACGGCGGCGGAGGTGAAACAGAGCCGCGCGCGGATGACAGCAGGGCGGCCTAGTGCAGGTGTGGGGGCGGCTCGTCGGCGGGGCACTACGGACGAGAGGCGCGCGGATCGGGCGGAGCTCCACGGGGCATCAAGCGCAAGCAGGGCCAGTTGCGAAGGACGAGCAATGAGGATGGCCACGCGAGGTGCGGGCACACTCAGGGAGCAAAGCAGCAGTGCGGCCGGTGCTCTGCTGTGGCGAGGAGCGAGGAGGCCAGAGGGCGGCAGCGGCAGCAATGGCTCCATGGCTCCATGGCTCAGTTTATCAAAGCCCTATAAGATAGGTAACACTTTTGTGGGAGGAAGAGGAGGGCGTCGGTGCGGAGCGCTTGCGCATGCTCGTGAGGGAGGAAAGGGGAGAGATGACGGGAGGCGATGACGACTGTGGCCCAGCGGCGTAGTAAAGAGAGGAAGAGCGGATGGAGGCCAGGAAAAAGCAGAGCGAGAGCAGCAGCTTGGCGTCCTCAAGAAGTAAGGGTAGGGGCAATAGCAGCGGTGAAAGCTCTAGTTTGGTTTTGGTTAATTGATGAAACCCTAAGTGCTAACCTAGTTTATCAAAGTGATTATAAGATAGGTAACACTACTCCAAGTGATGAAGCAATGGCGAAGATCATGACGATGGTGATGGCATGGTGATGATCAAATGCTTGAACTTGAAAAGAAGAAAGAGAAAAATAAAAGGCTCAAGGCAAAGGTATAAATTGTAGGAGCCATTTTGTTTTAGTGATCGAGATACTTAGCTAGTGTGATCATATTTAGGATCGATAGCCGTACTATTAAGAGGGGTGAAA